TTACAAAAAAATAAAAATAAAAAAACAAGAGCCTGTCGGCCAGTATAATGAACAAGCAACTGCCATGGGTCGTAGATAGATGAGCTAAGAATCCAATTTTAAGCAAACCAACATAAACAAAAAAAATCAAGCTAGCTGTCGAGGCGTTATTTAAAGGAAAAATATTAAAGAATAAACAAAGCCATGAATTGTCTGGTGTCGCAAAATAGAGAAAGGCCAAGATCATTCGAGAACAAAGCAGCCACAGTGACAAAGATGGGAAAGAAGTGGTTAATTGAATGCAAAAAAATATTTACATGTTTCGATTTGATGTTTTATGAAGTTATGAAAAAAAAAATCATGCATTGATTATTTTTGAAAAAAAACGAGTTCGTAACGCGATTATGACATAAACAAATATTTTTCTATTGTTTAAATCCTTTTGTTTGAATTCTTAAAAAAAAAAAAAAAAAAGAAAAAAAAAGAAATTATGGAGAACTATGCTTCAAAAGTATTCGGCTTAACAAAAGCGACGTCCAGCGAATGAAAGTTAATAAATACAATGTGTGTGCGCATTTATTATCCAACTTTTGTCAAATGCTGACAAAAAAAATGTATTGCATAAAAGAAGATGCACATAAGTCACAAGAGGAGTATCAGTGTAAAATGTGTTTTAAAAATCGCGTGCGTAAAGTTATTGTCAAAAGTAAACTTCCCCCAACAAATTTGGCGCTCGCATTTTTAAAGCAAATTTTGCATTTGCCCCACGAAATGCTGCCTTTTTATCGTTGAACGTCCAAAATTGTTTCGTATTGCGGATTCACGATGAAAAATTAGATATGCAAAATTTTAAGTATTTAACTTGAAAAAAGATGAAAGGCAACTAATAATTATTTGCACAATATTACAACTTATTATGTTTCTTTATTGTTAAATTTATCTCTGGAAAATTTTAGGAACGAGAGTATACGGAAGAGCGTGAGGTAAGGAACGACAATTTTTTTAAATGTTGAACCAAAACGTAAACGAAAAAAAAAAATTATAGCAAGTGAGATACACCAGTGTAATTTAAAAAATAGTATAATATACGAGAAGCGAATGGATTCGTATGGCGATGTAATGTATTATTTTGTTTTAGTTGAGAGAGCGCAATTCAGTGGGCTTGCGACTATATGGTATATTAAAAAAAAAAAAAATAAATAAATAACAATAATACCAAGGCGACTCGAAAAACGAAGAAAAAAGAAAATATTAAAAAATGATTCTAGCAATGAATTTAAATCTCGGTCCGCTTGCCGTCCCGCTTGTATTGAGCACCAGAATTTAACAAAGAGATTAAAATAAGAAAAATATTGAGAAAAAAATTTTTTTTACGCGAATTTAACAAATACCAATAAAGATAAATGAATAAACGATAGGTGAACGACAAAAATTTTGCAATTTCTAACAAGATACAAAAGCTACTCGAAATGATTAGTGACAGACGAAATGATGTTTGGTAGTGTGGAAGATTAGTGATAATANATAATAAAAGTTTTTAGTTTGCTCGATACTATACCATAAAAAATTTAAAAAAATTAAAAATACTCAAAGAAGTAAAAGTGCCAAAATTTTATCACCATGCTTATTTTACAAGCGCTTCTCTCAAAACATGAAGCCCCACATAAACTGATAATACAGAATATATTGTCTAAAACTAAAAATTGGTACTATCAAAATCTATCAAAAAAATGCTCTAGCATCTAGCAGGACGAGAGTTTATTCAAAATATTAGCTCTAAAATTAATTACATTATAGATAATTTTCTTACCCAACAATCCCAAGTACAGAAAAAAATTTCCTAAATTTTTATACACAACAAGATTCGGACCGTGATAAACTCGGATACTAGCAGATAAGAATACGCAATTGATACTCGTAAAAATTAAAATTTGATTAATTGTACAAGATATATTTGTGGAAATCCAATTTCACACAAATTTGTTTTAGTAAAAAAATGTATAACAATCATTATTTTATACACATAGGAACGAGTTCTTCAATAAAAATTTATCACCACACAAGCACTTGCTTAACTATAAATGCAGTGCTTATATTTTTCAGTGTGCTATTAAAAAAATATATAAAATTTAACTCGTTTTATACTAGATTAACATGCAACTTTCAAAACATACTAGTATATTTATAGCAAAGGACACTGTCGGTAATTGCTTGAGTGTTATAGCCTACAAAATAATATTTGAAACTATTCTATCGTATCAATCAAAAATCAAAACAATACAACATATCCACAGAAATTTCTCAAATAAATATTAACCATTTGTAGTATAATTGTTATGTAAAAATTTAAAAATAACTCAATCTTATACACTAAATTTCTTAGATTTTCGATGCAACAGAGAACAATCAGTTTATTTTATCAAACTAACGTTTCAATGATAATAGTTAAAGTTAATTAACAGAAATAAAATGGCAACTTTCGACCTTTTTTTATTCTATGATCAGTTCATTATCACGTCGTCTTCGTGAGCGCATAATCTTATAAACTCCTGTAGTTAAAAAAACCAATACAGGTATACCAATGCCAATGGCAATGATGAGCATCACAACAAATGAGAATCTTTCATCTGGTGGGGCTCCATATCCAGCAACAAAAGTCCTTGGGGAAAAAAAAAATTAAAATTAACATTTTATTGATTATTTCTAATAGTATCATAAATTCATGACTATTGCAATATGGCTTACATTGTGGCATAATTAGATGCCTTGTAAAAGCCATCTCCTTTTTCTCCGATCGAAATATTTACTCTTTGGACAAGGTTATCCAACATTTTGTCCTCTCCATAGTATAAGTACAAGAAATTGTCACGATTAAAGAACTCATTAACACTAGCATTTTTAACAGGGTAAGAGACAGTGCTGGTTGACTTGACAGTTTCCCGGTTAGAATTTTTGTAGGAAACTGGCCTCCATTGCAAGTATCCGGATTTGTCGTGAGCTCCTGATGTAATCAACTCAACGATCTTTGGAAAATAAATTTTTTTTTTTTAATTTATTATCATACTACAGGTCAATAAACTAGTTAATTTCGTATAATACCTCAAATATACCGGGTGTGAATTCATCATCTAATTTCCACTTTCCATTGGCAAGTAACGTGCAGTTTAAATCGTTCTCACTTACGAATAATAATTCAAACGCAAATCTACTACTAGTAAAGTTTGCTTTTGTATCCAAATGATCAATGGTTACATCCATTTGTGTGGCATTTTCAGAATGCAACATTTTAGGTGTAACGGAGGAATGATTTAAGGTGCTGAACCCTTGCAACTGTGCATGTGTTGGAATTGAAAATGCAAGATTATCACATTTTCATGTGTACTTGTGTCAATCAAGGATATGCTCAAGGTTGACTTACCAAGAATTCAATAGTTCCATTTCTCGTTTCATTTGTATTTAGATCTTTGTAATCACTAGCTTGGATATAAAACTCAACAAAACTGTCATGGTGAGTCAAATTTTTGTGATGCCATTGGAAATTCTGGAAGTTCACTTCAACTACATTTGAATCGAGTATTTCGTCCATTCTGCCATCATCATGAATATCGTTAAATTCGAGTAACTGAAATAATAATATTTTTATTAAGTAACAAGTATTAAAATTAATCATGATTTTTACAGATAACATTACATGAGAAATCGAACAATTACCCTTTCAATGACAATCCCAAATGTGTACATGGGCTTCTCAGTAAATTTCACTGCGTGTGGTAATCTAGATACGTATTTATTCCAATCAACAACCAATTTTGCAGTTGTCGATGTGACAGCGATAAATATAGTTGGATTTCTTGTGAAATCCCAGATGTAGTGCAATGTGTCATTCGATCCTGTTGCTCTGACATGCCCAAGTTTTACTTTTGAATTTTTACAAAGATCTTTACAGCCTTCGTTAAAGGTATAATCAAGCTGTAAGTAATATAAATACGTGTATACATTTATTGACCCTTTTATAATGAAGTGGTTAATTGAATGCNAATCTTAAAATATTTTTTTTATGCTCGTACGAATACCGAAGACTAAACGAAGTTAAAAAAAAATATTGTCGCTGTGTAGATTTTGATATTTGAGAATAGAGCAATGTTAAGCTTTTTTTTTAAAAAAAATTCCAAATACACAGAAATAGTTGTCAAAACTATTAGAGAAAATTTATATCTCTAGCATTACCATACATAAAATAATGGACCAAGAATCATAATATTACCTATACCATAAGTAAACAGCAAGTAATTTTAAACGAAAGATGGTCGTCAATCTTCGTCCGGAACAGATCGAAGCTCATCCGTGTGCGCAAGGATTGCAAACAGGGTGGGACTGGACGTAAACCGGCACATAAATCGGGGTTGTTCTGTAAACCGTCCGCACTCGAGGCTCTAAAACCAAATCACACATTGTCCGATGGATCGCATTTTTCATTCACATCTCAATTTAGAAGAAAAAAAAAATTTACAAATTATTACTCACGCTGATAACAGCTTCCGCAACGACATCCGCAACCCCTAGCGCCTCCACCGCCTTTCTTAAACTTCTTTTTCTTGCCACCGAACATGCATGACATGCACAGGGTACGTTTTACCCGTGTCTTCAAAAGCCGATTTCCGGCATACGCTTCGACGGGCTCTTGGTTGGGATTTTCCTTAATTTCCAACGTAGAATTGGAAGGGATCAAATGTAGCTTGACGAGGCGAGTTTCACCCTCGTTGGTAAACTTTTCGACGTCGAAGCCTTCCTTTTCGGCATTTTCAGCGACGTCGTTCAAATTCACCGGTTCGTGCTCATTTTTTTGCTTCACCAATAGCATAAATTTCGGGGCTTGCCCTGTTTAACAAAAAACCATGTGAGTTATTTTATTTAACAAATTATTTATTACTTTTCTTTTTTGTTCAATCTTATGTAAAACTTACGTAAATCACCTAGTGTTTCGTTTAGCGCTTTTTCGATGATATCATTGTGCAAAATTTCATTCACGTGTCCAGCTGAGCCATTTTTTATTCCAAGCACGTTTATTACAAATATGATTTCTGGCATGTTCACTTCGTGGATTTTCGTTGTATAATTGATTTTATTACCTGATCCAAGTTGTGGATCGTCTAAAAAATGAACCTTTGTATTTTTTTTTTTTTTTTTAATAGTAGAAATAGACGTGAAGCAAGAATTATTGCACTTACGGACTGTGGATGAAGAGATAAATGAACCTCTGATATCAGTAACAAGAGCAAGCACTACTGTGATCACTAAACACGACAACATTTTTCCTTCCGGTACAATAGATCGGATCTATCAACGATACCGCGATCTAAAAGAAACTGCAGTCCAGTTGCATCGGAATCTCTGGTTTTATGTCCCTTTATTGTTGTATAAGCTCGTAGATGCATTGTTTTCATTCGACACCTTTTTAGTGCTGATTTCATTACATCTTCGTGGTATTTTAAGGGTAACCCCGAAGATATTGTGACGTTATACAGGATGAAGAAAAATAATCAGTGCCATTATAACGAAACACCAAGATTACGATGATTCTGGTAGAATTATTTACTGTGAGGAAAATCAGTACTTTGTCCATAAGATTTTTAATTTAGAGTGTAATTGTTTGTACGTCACCCGCATTGAAAATAAGTTTCATATCAATTATAATGTTAATTTTAATACCAAGAAATTTGTAATTCAGTTTTTCGAAATGAAAATGTACATCTA